GACAACTGAAGTGTAATAAAATGGCTCGTTAGGTCTGACCATGCCTCGAGGATGTCTCAGGCGAAACGGGTCAGTCCATCTCGCGCGCAGCATCTCGGAGCCCAGAGCTGCGAGGATGTCTGCGGCGAAAAACGCTGGACCACCTCACGCGCGGCGTCTTGTAGCTCAGAGTTGTCAGGATGTCTCAGGCGAAACGCGTCAGACCACCTCGCGCACGGCAACTCGGAGCTCATAGTTGCGAGGATGTCTCAAGCGAAACGCGTCGGACCACCTCTCGCGCAGCATCTCGGAGCCCATGATTGCGAGGATGTCTGTGGCGAAACGAGCCAGACCATTTCGCGCGCGGCATCTCGGAGCTCAGAGTTGTGAGGATGTCTGTAGCGAAACGCGACAGACCCCCTCGCGCGCGGTAGCTCGGAGCTCGGCTCGTTGGGGTCACCGGAAATTTGAAGGGTGTGACGACATGGGTGGGGAAACCGCATGTGGACGCAGCACCTGGGACTCTCGGTGGAGCTACATGTGAAGCCAAGAAATGTGCGAGGGGTGTACCGAAATTGGTTCGGGAGACGCACGTGGACGCAGCCACTGGGGCCTTCGGTTGAACTCCCGATGGGGCCACGAAACGGGTGAAGGGTGTGTCGACATGGGAGGGGGAACTGCATGTGGACGCAGCAACTGGGGCCTTCAGTGGAGCTACCTGTTGGGCTACGAAGTGTGCGAGGGGTGTGCCGAATTGGTGGGGGAGACATGCATGTGGACGCAGCTACTGGGGCCTTCGCAGGAACTCCCTGTTGGGTCGCGAAACATATAAGGGGTGTGCCGAAATGGGTGGGAACCGCATGTGGACGCAGCCACTGGGGCCTTCGCAGGAACTCCCTGTTGGGTCGCGAAACATATAAGGGGTGTGCCGAAATGGGTGGGAACCGCATGTGGACGCAGCAACTGGGGCCTTCGGTGGAGCTCCCTACGGGGCTACAAAAAGTGTGAGGGGCGTGCCGACATGGGAGGGGAAACCGCATGTGGACTGTGCTACTCGAACCTCTGGTGGAGCTACCTGTGAAGCCACGGAATGGGTAAGAAGTGTGCAGTAATGGGTGGGGAACCGAATGTGGACGCAGCCACTGGGCCCTTCGGTGGAACTCCCTATGGGGCCACGAAACGTGTGAAGGGCGTGTCGGCATGGGAGGGGAAACTGCATGTGGACGCAGCAACTGGGGCCTTCGGTGGAGATACCTGTTGGGCCAGGAAATGTGCGAGGGGTGTGCCGAATTGGTGGGGGAGACGTGCATGTGGACGCAGCTACTGGAGTATTTTGTAGAACTCCGTATGGGGCCGCGGCACATGGGAAAAGTGTACCGTAATTGGCAGGGACACGCATGTGGACGCAGCCACTGGGGCCTTCGGCGGAACTCCCTGTTGGGTCGCGAAACATATCAGGGGTGTGCCGAAATGGGCGGAAACCGCATGCGGACGCAGCAACTGGGGCCTTCGGAGGAGCTCCCTACGGGGCTACAAAAAGTATGCAGGGCGTGCCGACATGGGAGGGGAAACCGCATGTGACTGTGCAATTGAGGCCTTCGGCGGAGCTACCTGTGGAGGCCACGAAATATAAGGAGTGTGCCGAAATTGGTGGTTGTGACGCATGTGGACGCAGCCACTGGGGCCTTCGGTGGACCTCCCATTGAATCACGAAACGTGTGGGGGGTGTGCCGAAACGGGTGGGAACCGCATGTGGGCGCAGCAACCGGGGCCTTCGGTGGAGCTCAGGGAGTGTGCCGTAATGGGTGGGAAACCGCACGTGGACTTTGCCAGTGTAGCCTGCGGTGGAGTGCTTCTGGAGCCACGAAACGCGTGAGAGTTGTGCCGACATGAGGGGGGAAACCGCATCTGGACTGTGCCTTTGGGGAGTGAGAAGGAGACGAGGAGAGGACGCGGGGCGCTGTCTCTCAAAAACGAGGACCCAGCACCACAGGATGGTTGGGAGCCAGGAGTCGACACAAGCACAAGTGGGCCGATTCACCAACATGCCACCAAGAGCCCCCCGAGAGGCCACAAAAGGCACCCACGAGGCCCCAAGTCACGCCAACATGCAATGTACTGCTCGTCGTTTTCCTCCTCCTCCCCCTCCTCCTGCATGGTCGCGAGATTTGCAAGCTATTTTCATGAGGGGGCCCGCCGTGGATCCCGCACCGCGGGCTCAATACGACGGGCCCCGTGCGGGCCGTTTCCCTTGTAGGAGATTTGGAAGGTTGGCTGGTTGCTCCACATCCTCCTCCTCATCCTCCTCCACCTCCTCCTCCTCCTCTTCCTCCTCATCATCGTCGTCCTGTTCCTTCTCCTCGTCCCCCTCCTCATCCTCCTCGTCCTCCTCCTCCTCCTCCTCCTCCCCCTCCTCCTCCTCCTCCTCCTCCTCCTTCTCCTCCTCCGCCTCGTCCTCGTCCTCGTCCTCGTCGTCGTCCTGGTCCTCCTCCTCCTCCTCCTCCTCATCCTCCTCCCCCTCTTCCTCCTCCTCATCCTCTTCTTCTTATTTTTATGACGATTATCAATAGCATTCGTACTACTATTCGAATTGGCACTGTTGCTCGTGTTATTACTGTTGTTGCTATTGTTCGTACGATTACTAGTATTAGTCGAATTAGTAATCATACGATTATGAATATTCTTAACAATAGTAGTAGTAGTAGTAGTAGTAGTAGTAGTAGTAGTAGTAGTAGTAGTAGTTAGTCGTAGTAGTAGTAGTAGTAGTAGTAGTAGTAGTAGTAGTAGTAGTAGTAGTAGTAGTAGTAGTAGTAGTAGTAGTAGTAGTAGTAGTAGTAGTGGTGGTGGTAGTAGTAGTAGTAGTAGTAATCGTAGTAGTAGCAGCAGCAGCAGCAGAAGTAGTAGTAGTAGTAGTAGTAGCAGTAGTAGTAGCAGTAGTAGTAGTAGTTTAAAAAATAGTGGTATTACTAGTATTGATACCATTACTGTGGCCAATATTAGTATTACAATTAGTCGCACAAGTATTCGTATTAGCATTCATACTATTATTGTGTTAATCGCGGTAATCGTATTAGTATTGGTGTCTTAGGGTGGTTAGGTGTCTTGCTATTAGTAGTTATGGCTACTCTTGTTTATTCTAATAGTATTATGAGATCTTCGTAGTCGCAGTACTCTTTCTCTTACTAGTATTCGTCTTGTTCGTCTTTGTATTATTGCTCTGTTTATGATATTCCTCCTCCTCCTCCTCCTGCTGCTCCTCCTCCTCGTTTTCCTCGTCCTCGTCCTCCTCCTCCTTCTCGTCCTCCTCTTCCTCCCCCTCCTCCTCCTCCCTCTCCTCCTCCTCCTCCTCCTCCTCCTCCTCCTCCTCCTCCTACTCCTTCTCTTCCTCCTCCTCCTCCTCCATTCCTTTTCCTTAGAAATAACTTCTCCCTGTCGCACCCCGAGGCAAGTTTTTAGGGCGGGCCGGGCGTTTCTCCTGAAATTTCATCATCTATGACCCTTAAGCTTAAAGAATAACAACCACTTCACAGATGGAAGGCGGGTCGTTTTCAAAATGTGGCTCTCGCCATAGCGCCGCGCAATTTTTTTCGACCAAAATGCAGGAGTTTCAAGGATTGAGGGCGAGTGGTTTTCAAAATTCGGCTCTCGCGTAAGCGCCGCGCACGTGTTTTCTAAAACACTGCAAGAGCTTCACGGATTGAGGGCGAGTGGGTTTCAACATGTGGCTCTCGCCTTAGCGCCGCGCATATGCGTTTTACAACATTGCAAGAGTTTCACGGATTGAAGGCGAGTGGTTTTCAAAATGTGGCTCTCGTCTTGGCGCCGCGCACAGTCGTTTGAAAAAAAACAGAGTTTCACGGATTGAATGCGAGTCGTTCTCAAATGTGGCTCTCGCCTCAGCGCCGCGCACATTCGTTTTTGACATGTGCAGGAGCTTTACGGATTGAGGGCGGTTTCTTTTCAAAGTGTGGCTCTCGCCCTAGCGCCGCGCACATTCGTCAACATTTTCAGGAATATCACGGCTTCCAATGATCAGCGTACCAGAAATTGGGTTTTGTGAGGAGTCCGGATTGTGAGGGCGCAACAATTACGTTGACTCGCGGTGTTGAAGAAACAGGAACGGCGTTCTGTCACCATTTAGGATAGTCAAGACGCAACAATCACGTTGATCTGTGGCGCTGGAATCCCGAGAACAATGATTTAGCATGCTCCTGGGTCTCTAAACGGTTGACTTCCAACGAGGCAGTTCCCTCAGTGGAAAGAACCCTTGTATGGAACTATGAAGAGGGAGCTTGGAGGGAGGGCTTACTCTAACATCGTTGATGACTCTTGGGATTACACTGTTCCACCTCCTCCTCCTCCTCCTCCTCCTCCTCCTCTTCCTCCTCCTCCTCCTCCTCCTCCGCCTCCTCTCTCTCTCATCTTCCTCCACCTTTCGATGTACGACGGGGTTCACTGCACACAGAATCAGGCAAAGCTTGGGCACCACGCTGGCGGGTAGCCCAAATTGCCTGGCTTAGGGTAGGTGCCTGGTGCCTCACCTCCCCCGAAGACGAGAATATGAGGACGATGATTCACGGGGGTATCCCGTCCAGCGTTCAACACTGCTATAATGTGCGCCACTCCGGTTTTTCGTTCCTATCACACGCCTTCTCGCGAGGCTTCCATCGCGCGGCGGCCACAACAGAAACGTAAGGGGAATAAAGACAGGAGGGGGCAAAAGAGAGGGGATGATGACGACGAGCAGCAGCAGCAGCACCATCAAGGGCAACAGCAGCAGGATCCATCTGAACTGAGAAATACGCTGACCCGGAAATACAATCAGGATAATGATGACGACGACGACGACCACGACGACGACGACGACGACGACGATGAAGACGACGACAGCCACGACGGCGGCGGCAGTTGCGGCGGCAACAACAACGACAGATACTGCAGCCATGGCCACCGCCGCCACGACTGCGACCGCAACCACGGCTACACAACACACAGCCACGACGAGACTGCACAGCGACCGC